CACCCTCCCTCTCCAACCACCACCTTCCTAACCTGGAGGCGCGTCAGCGTTAACTCCAGGAAAGACCCTTGTACGGTGCAGTAAACCGAATAATATAATTATTTCACATTTAATATTTTGCAGCATTGCATTTTTACTTTGGTGTGTCGAATCTAGAACGCGACGCATCAGTCTACGTTCCAACCGCGACTCATAAACTCCATACACTATTACATTAGTCAAATAAGTTTCGTGTGCCAATAAACGGTGTTTATAAACTATAAATATGGAAAGCCAAAACCCTAATCCTACCAAATAAAATTTTGCTCAAGGCAGCCAAGATGATATTGAGATTAAACCAAAGGAGCCTCAACATAGTGAAAGATAGGAAGATGTATCATACAAAACTAATAGAGAGGTCATCTAGGTGTACTTAAGACTCAAACCCACTAGCAACTACTATGATATTACTCAACCAAAAATACCCGTTAGCAATAGCAAAATCAGAGACGAAGAAATATTCCATACCGTCATCCCTATTGTGTACATCGAACAACAAACGGGTTGAGGATTCCCATATCCAAGATAGAGTGTTAGCACGTCTAGACACAATAGATTGGTGGATCACACACAGCATGCCTCCTACTGAGAATTTAAAGAAGCTTGCAGATGTATTATTTTCAACATTGGACAAGCAATGTAAAGAGTATTATAACATCAATTGCAATGCTGCAATTAAAGAGATTTTCTTCCCTGAATTTTCAATCCAACATCCCAGGATAACCTCTGGAACTATTAATGTATCAAAAAATCAAATTAATATAAGCCATGAAGACAATATACCACTTACTAAACAGATACGAATTATCTTGAATGCTCTAGATCCTCGTGAGAGGTACCTCCCTATTTTGCCTTCTAGTGGGGAGTCAACAGTATGTATAAAGCACGTAGTCCATAACAATCTTGTAATCACTATGTTTCTAAAGATTCAGGAGACAAAAGACTGTGGCTAGGCCCATTCAAGAATCTTGTCTCTTCTATAATATATGAGGGTAAAGTTCAGAACATTCCCTTGGAAGAAATCCGGGAGATACGTTTATCCTCCAAAGTGATGAATATAGATTTTGCTACCTTGTTAGAATTTGTCAGAGCAACAGACTCAATAGAATTCTTGTGGCTAAAAGCGCTGTTTGAGAGACCAACCACGCTATGCTGCTCACTAAGAAGCTGAAGTTCAGACCCCTCACATAACGATAACCGGAGTTCAAATAGGTCTGGTTGACGAGGACCGCCTTCTCGGTCTGACCATCTACCGACGTCTTAACTTCAACGCTTCAACGTGTCCAATGTCTGTAAAAAGACCACGGACATTTATAAACAGCAAAAGTGACGTGGGGACTGAATAGGGACATAGTATGTATCATCTACATCGCGGTAATTGAGCCTATAATAACGTACAGGGCCAGCGCTTGGAGTTCAGCGACTCACCTCCGAACGAACCAAAAGAGGTTGGATGCACTCCAGAGGGCCTTTGCAATTAAGATCTGCAGGGCCTACCTCACCACGTCTTTAACATCTACGTTGGTGCTGGCCGGTGTGCTGCCAATTGACATCCGGATCCAAGAGGCTGCAGCGCTGTACCGGACTAAAAAGGGCCACGACACGTCCTTCCTACCACCGGAACGACGCCTCGAGAAAAGGGTGCCACCGTCTGAACTGCCGCACCCTGCTCATACGATAACACCTATGTATGAGCTTCTCGAGGACGTCACCGACAGCACCCTAGCTTCCCTCCATGGCTCCGGAGCAGTGATATACACTGACGGGAGCAAGATGGAGAGGGGCGTGGGAGCGGCTCTGACGTGGTGAGAGGGGAGTGTCGAGACCTTTTACAACACCTTTAGCCTGGATCTGTACTGCACAGTCTTTCTGGCAGAGCTCTTCGCTCTTCACAAGGCGGTGCGGAGGATCAAAGAGAGCGGTTCGAGGAATACCACCATCCTCAGCGATTCAAGATCTTCGCTTGAACTGCTCTCGAACCCAAAGATCCAGCACCCCTTGTCGAAGGCCATAAAGGAAGACCTGCTTGAGATCTGTGCGTCCGGAAGGCAAGTCGACCTCTACTGGATCCGTGCACACATCGGCACGCAGGGCGGACGAGCTGGCGAAGGAAGGTGCCCAATCCGATAACACCATCCCGGATTATGCCGACCTCCCGCTGTGTGTCGTCAAGAGAGGGATCAGGGAGGAGTCGATAGGTGGCAGGACCGCTACGACTCCTCTCAGAGTGGAGCAGTCACAAAGATCTTTTTCCCGGACGTGAAGACAGCCTACAAGATCGTCCGGGAAACGGAATTGACGCACCACCAGGTCCAGCTCTTGACGGGATACGGCGGCTTCGGGTCATACTTGCACCGGTTCAGGTTGAGGGAGGAACCTGGCTGCGAGTGTGACCCGAACGCGGGGAGTCGGTATAGCACCTTCTCTTCGACTGCCCGCGCTTCATTGCCCTGCATTACAACCTGAAGTGCATTACCAACCTCACACTGTCCATACATACAGTGGGGGACCTAATGGCCGACAAGTCATCTCGGCCCCACCTCCTCCAATTTATGCAGGAGGTGGCGACAACAGCTACACACAGGAACAACAACATTCCTAACACACACACCAACACACTCGCCACACAAGTAGAAACAGTAACACACATCACACAAGCGCAATACACCCATTTAATATAGTTTCGTGTGGCGAGGAGGGGAGACCTGGAATACACGTCAGGGGAATCTATCTACTCTTTCATGGACAACAGTTCTGAAAGAGTAGGTCTCGCTTTTTGCAACTCGGGGGCCAAGACGAACGTATACATCTCGCCGGGACTCGGGCTCCTGATGAACGGCAGTACCCTAAAGACCACCATGCGTCGTAGAGTCTACGACGCACTACCCCTGTTGGAAGTGCTCTGTGCACGGTGTCGAATAGTGCGAAAGGCCAACAAGGTCCTGGCGTACCATACGGATCAGGATATAGCCGATCACCTCAAGGCCCAGAACCCTAAGTTGTTCGAGGGCCTTAGGGGTGGGTACACTACTACACATTCTATTCGGAGTCCCCCCCCCCCCCCCGGGGGACTCTTCGCCGGCTGCTGGACCCCCACCGTCCCGTCGACCTGCAACGGCACCGGCCGGGTCTTTGCACCGCGTGAGAAGAGCTATTTTGCCCGCCGGGCCGGAGGAGCCCGTACGGCGACGCCGAGTCACCTCCTACTCCCCTAACGCCGGGGCCGGAAGGGCCCCTCTACTTTTGCCTCGGACTCCGAACACTTCACCGGGAACTTCGGGAACTTCCTCTTCGTCCTCGGCGTCGTCACCGTCGTCACCGTCGTCGGCGGCGAGCACGTCGGGATCCTCGGCCTCCTCGCCGTCCTCGTCGCGCGGGCGATCGAGGTCCCGCTCCCCACTTGGGCCTACCTGCGCGGCCGCCCCCGCTGATCCTGCGCTGCCCCGGCCGCCGCCCTACTGGGCCTACGTGCATGACCGAAATACCCGCAGAGTGATTTAGTAGCCATGTCAAGAGGCATTACCAAAGAAGACATGCCCCCTACAGGGGGTATGAGGCTGCGGGCTCCTACCCCCGGGGCTATTACATATTAGTTATGAGCCGGGCATTTTTCCAATCGGTAGTGTTTTTCCGGCACCAATCGCGGAATACATATTATCTGTAGCGTTTTTCCCACACAAATCGCGGAAATCGTATTACAATTAGTGTTGAGTATTTTTGTGAAAAATATATAAGTAAATAAAGAAAGTAAGGAGAAATAATAATTGCGTAATTAAGAATTTAGCGAAGTTCGACAAAAAGCGCAAACTAAAACGTTATTTGTCTTTCTAATATTTTTTATTTAAGGTAAATAATTTGTACAATTTCATACTTTGTTAGTATGAAATTTCTTAGTGAGGTTCGACAAAAATCGCGAATTTGAGTTAATTGCAGGTTGAATATTTGAATTGCATTTTAATAAAAATTTGTATTTTATAAACATGGATCAAATTCGTACAATTCCCAATGAAATATTGAACACCATTCCTGAATTTGGAGGATAACAGAAATCACTAAATTTCTTTCTAAGAAAATGCGAATATGTGATAAGATCATACAGGGTGTCCTAAAAAGTAGTGTCAAGCGGTAGTCCCGAGATAGAACACCCTTGGGGAATCCGAAACACCCCCATGTATGTTCCGCGATTTTTTATAGTTTGCGAGTTATGAATTTTTTACTAAAATTTTGAGAATTAATGACCTAAACAACTTAAAAATTTAATAAAAAAAATTGGATGTCTTTTCCGAGATATTTTTTTTGCAACTCAATTCACATGAATTGTACTTAAATGACTAATACCTTTGTTTTTGTAACTATGATGGAAGTTTAAAAAATGATGGTGCAAAGTGAAAAAATTATGGTCAGTGAATTATGGTCTTAAGATTTCAACTGTAAATTTAAAATCTTAATAGGTAGTTTCATAGCTCCTAAGTAAGTTTAAAAACTGCGCCAGACTCTCAGCTTTCATTATCATTTAAAAAAAGTAGTACTTTAAGTACTACTTTTTAAGGGCTACTTTTGCTAAAATCGGACTTCAAAGACAGTGAGGTGGAAAAATCTTAAAATTAGCGATTTGGTATCGGAAGTTTTTATTTAGCATTTTATCATTCCTATCTTAAATAGGATAAAAGATGTTATGATGTACCTTGTATAAATCTATGTAACTTTTTTTTAAACTAGTTTTAAGAATCTGTACTTCATCTCAGTTTCATAATATTTCTTATAAGGTCTATCAGTTTATTTCTGTTTTCGGCTAAACTGTACTTCCAGGGCCCAAGCGGTGATACTTCACACTAGGTTAGGTTAGTGTTGTGACCATAACGCGCAAGCCGAGCGAGCGAAGCGAGCTTGCCGCAGCAGAGGCCGGCGAAGCGCCAGAAAAAAGAGACCTTTTCTACAAAAAAGTTCGAGTACCCCATCTTGGGCCCTGGAAGTACAGTTTTACCCTATTTTCATCTTACTATACAGTATAGTGGAACCATAGATGGGCTATTTTGCAAGCTTCGCAACTTTAGGAAAGATTACACTGGAATGTCTGAGCAGTGATAATAACTGCAAATCTAAATAACATGGATTGTTTTTTTTCAGGTACGCAGCAAAGCATTTGCCAGTTTAGCCGACATGTAAACATAAATGCAAAAACTTACAATGCTCTGAAATTCCACAGCAGGATGTACGAAAATTCCATGAGTCTTTTTATCAATTGAAAAGCAAATTGAAACAAGACTAATTTTTATTGAAACATGTAAAAGGTATAAAAACACAACGTCGTCGTCCAAGATCTGAATCTCGAAATTACAAACCTAGAGGTTTGCAGCTGAAATATAGGGTATACAGCAGATCAAAACATAAAATGATACAAGTTTACCAAAAAGCATTCCTTCAGATTTTACAAATCAAGAGATACCGCGTCGAAAATGTAATAAAGAATTATCATCTATATGGAAATTTCCCTACAGAAAAACGTGGAGGTGACCACAAGTCCCACAAATACAAGGACAAAAAAGAGAATATCATTAAATTCATAAAGACTTTCAAGTGTTCTGAAGTTCATTATTGTCGTGGTTATACGAAACGTATGTACTTGCCTCCAGAGCTAAGTATTAATAAAATGGCCAAAATGTACAATGACCAAGCACCAGAAAACCTCAAAGTGAAGGAGCTGTATTTTCGAACCGTTTTCAATACTTGTTTTAATTTGGGCTTTGGGAGCTGTGTGCTCAGCGACCCGAGGACTTGTCTTCAGCATAATGAAAAATTAAAAATTGCGCTAACTGATAGCGACAAATCTATCCTGATGGCTGAGAAAACAGTACATAAACGCCGAGCTAAAGAAATTTTTAAAATGTTAAAAGAAGACAACCGTAAAATAAAGATTCTTAATTTCGATTGTCAGAAAAACATGCCGTTGCCCAAAATACCGGACCAGAGTAACTTGTCACAAGACGATGACGATTGTGTCCTAATTTTGGCTTTAAATGAAAATCAGGAGGCAATGATGAATAATTTGCAGGACCAGAATACGCAATTTACTGGAAGAGGAACCTGTCGAAAAGAAAAAGAGCAGTACGAAAGGGAAGACACTGGTATCAACTCAGAAAAAGAAGATTTTGAATTCACCTTTAATCACATGGTTGGAGAATTTTTGCCACACTACCATGACTGATTGATTATTCACAGTAAGCTATATAATCGCTGCGTTGTACGAATTGCTACGTTCTTTACTGTGCTATACTGAGCGAATAAATCTCAACTATCAGTGTACATGACCCATTATATTTTAGTTATAGTTTGTTTTTTTTTATAGCGAGGTAGGCAAATGACTCTACCCCACCTGATGTTAAGTCGTGACAAAGTCCAAATGCGAAGATAGCTGGTACAGCAGTTATAAACTGCTATACCAACTATCCTCACCTTTCTGGCCTGCAAAAATGCTTCTTCACGCCTCTCTTAAAGGACCCCATATTATAGGAAGGAGGGAACACGTGCGCGGGTAAAGAATATTCCACTTACGAATAGTACGACAAAGAAATGATTCACTAAATTTTTTTGTTCGTGTAGGAATAGTGGCCACAGTAAGTGGGTGGCAACGTAGGCCAGCGCGCGTGGTCCTCTGAAGAAAAGGTGAAGGAGAGATAAGGGAGAATAACTCCTCAGAACACTCGCCGTGGTATAGTCGGTACAATACGTTTAATGATGCTAGAACGCGGCGTAATTGTAGAGACTCGAGTTCCTTAGTTACCTCTTCATCGCCAATGATGCGGGCAGCAGTACTTAACGGAGCCATCCCAGAGGTGCGAGCAATATTCCACCAGATTAATGACTTATGAAGGAATACATTTTTATTTTGTAGAAAATTAGTTACACTCTTAAAATAAGTATATGGTATAAATGTTCAGTACTTCATGCAAATGGGATTGAGTTGTGATCTTCGCAATGTAACCTAACCTAACCTAACCAGTATCTCTCGAAGCGGAGACATCGCGGTGAGGGACTCCCTTATCCTCAAAAAATCTGGACAGGAGTATAAAAACCCGGATGAGACAGGATGTGACGTGGAAAACCCTGACGAGACGGATCAGACAGGAATTGGAGAATGAAAGACCGGATAAGACTAATACTACATACTTTACTATATCATTATCATCACGTGAAATGCAGCGAAGATCCAGGATGCCATTAGGTTAAGAAAAATTTGTTTTATATTGTTCTTTATGTGTTTTCTTTTTATATTGTTTATATTAGATGATGCGAAGATAGATGCGTTCTTTTGTTTTGTTTGTTTTGTTTCTTTTGATTAGTTCTATTACGTTCTATTTGCTGTACTCAAATTACTTTCATTAATCTGCCAACAAACTGCAAAACCGGGATCCGGGAAACTTCTACCCGCATTGTTAGTTTTAACTCGTTTTATTTTATTTTGTTTTTTGTATTTTGTTTTATTTTGTATTTTCTTTTGTTTTATAATAATAAACTGTATACCGGGATCGAGAAGACGGCCGGTGCCGGCTTGCAACTCTAGCGCGAGCTAGGGCTGTCAAAGCTCAGTGCACCGGTTAGATACCAAAATGCCCACCGGTGCTCCGGACAGTAGTGTCTTATACGGCCACTACTGACTTGGAGCACCGATGGATCATTAATACACCATCAAATCGATCCCGGTTGCAGCTACAAGCCAGAATTGATAAAGGAAAGCAATACTTGACATAAACTGATTACATGTAAACATCTGATAATTATGTATACTGAAAATTTCTGCCTGCATTGTTAGTTTTGGTTCGTTTATTTTATTTGATTTGTTCTTATTTTATTTTGTTTTATTTTGTATTTTATTTTGTGTTAAAACAATAAACTATATACCGGGATCGAAAACACGGCCGGTGCTGGCTTGCAACTCTAGCGCGAGCTAGTGCTGTCAATGCTCAGTGCACCGGTCAGATACCAAAATGCCCACCGGAGCTCCGGACAGTAGTGTCTTATACGGCCACTACTGACCTGGAGCACCGATGGACCATTACCAGACCATCCAGCCGGTTCCGGCAACCCCTAGAATAAACAAAAATAGTAATTAGGTGACTAGAATTAAGTACACACCCCGGAGGCGCAATAGCGTTAACTCCGGGACAGCTCTTCCCCTCCCCCCTCTCCACCACCCTGGAGGCGTACCTTGGTGCGTTAACTCCAGGGAGGAACCCTCTCCAACCTCTCCTTAACCCCGCCCTCCCTCCAGTAGCGTGAGAGCGCTGCTGAAGGAAGGATGGCGTAACCCAAATCCACTACCCCACACCCAGCCCTACCACTATCCTAAAGAGCTACAGACACGTAAAAATTGTTAATTAATAGAATAAGGCATGGACAATTATATATTATGAGCGCAAAAAAGAAAGCGCCAAAAGAGAGCGGAAAAAAGATAATTTCCCTAAAAAATAAACTAACAAAGGCACGGACCCCGAGTCTGTGGAGGAGACAAAAAAAAAAAAAAAAAAACCAGTATCTCTCTCAGTTACTCGCAAAACGCCACGCAGTACACACCTAAATCCACGTTGCTCCACACTTAAAAATCTAAAAAAGTGGTAAATCCGGCACGGATTCACACGTCAAAAGACGCGTCTCGGTGCAGGCTACAAGCCTACGAAAAGTTCAATTCAATTCAATTCAATTTATTGCAGTCATGTGGTTACATGGATGGTTACAAGTTACAAAATGCATAAAGTACCTAACATGAACCCTGTCAGGGTATCGCAATATAGATAAAAATTACAAAAGAGAATTTAACAAATAAACAATTATCTATATAATGAAGAACCTAATATTTATTAAACAACTTTTTTTTCTCAAAGCATGCATAAATGTCATCTGATTTCATTAATTTTATAACTTACTCAATTGATCTTATTTACAGTACTAGTTTAATTTTGTAATTATTATTATGGAAATTCTTTTATAAAATTAAATTTGTCAATAATTAAAATTAAAAAATATGTCAATAAAAATAAAATAATATGTCAATAAACATGATTATATAATCTAGGTTTGTATTTTAAAGATCGCCTCATTAATATTATTTTGTTGCAAAGTATTCATCTATGGTGTAAAAGCATTTATCTAATAAATATATTTTCAATTTTATCCTAAATTGGTTAAAATGTTTTTCGTTTTTTATGTGAGCGGGTAATTTATTATAAATTTTTATACACATATAATATGGAGTGCTACTAAGTTTTCTCAATCGAGATGGTGGTAAATATAATCGATTTTTGTGCCGTGTATTTATATTATGTGTTTCGTCAACTTTTTTAAATACGTCTAAATTTTGATGTACGAATAGTGATACGTCTAGGATATATATGGATGGTAAAGTCAGGACTTTGTATTTTATAAAATATGGTCTGCAGCTTTCCGTATTGTCTATGTGGGCTATGATACGTATACATTTCTTTTGCATTATAAAGAGCTCGTTAGCAGTTGTGCCGTTTCCCCATAGCATTATTCCGTACCTTAGCCATGAATACGCATATGCATAATACGCAGATAACGCCGTGTCTATATTTGTACATTGTTTTAATTGATAAAGAGCATATGTGAACTTAGCAAGCTTACATTTAGTGGATTCTACGTGGGACTTCCAATTTAAGTGCGTGTCAATGGTCATACCGAGCAAATTAAACGATTCTACAGTTTCGAGATCTGCGTTTCGATAATTAATTTTTAAATTTAAAGGAGGCTTCCCGTATGATCTAAACTCCATAATTTTAGTTTTTTCGTTATTAATTTCTAAATTATGATTTTGTAACCAAAGCGTTACTAATTCCAGGGTTTCGTTTGTTATTTGACTCATATTACCAACACTATTACTTTTTATTAAAATTGATATATCGTCGGCAAAAAGTACAGGTTGTACAGATTCGCTAATCAAAAATTTAGTAAGTTTTTGAAAATCGGAGAAGTGCTCGATAAGATATAAGCAAAAAAGTGAAGTTTTTGAACCATATTGTGTGAAAATTGGAGTGTTTTTGGACAACAATTCAGTGTGCAGTGTACGTACAATCACGGAAAAAGTGCCGTTCGGTGCGCCTTTGCGCGCCGCATAAGAGGGAAAAACCATCCAGAGTCTACCTGTAGTGACCACGGAGTTATTCCCGAAAAAGGGAATAACTAGGTCACACGTGTCGACAGATCCGGACACACAGCGCAGACTCTGAGGACGCCAAACGCAAGAGGACACCGCCACGAGTCCCCCAACACTTCGCACGCCGAAAACGCTGAAATAGGGAAGCTAGGTTAGTTCTAAGTTTTTTTAAGACTTTTTTGGGGATATCTCCCGTTTCATCTAAGGGCGGCATAGGTTTTTGTTGGTGGCGTGAGAAGCTCTCACCCCGCCACACTAACTAGCGAAAACCGCCCCCCTCGATTCCCACAGCATCGGAAGATATCCACCAGGAAAGTTCAGGGTGAAACATTCCCGGCCCCCCACCGCAAAAACTATTGAACCGACCCGAGCGCTGAACACACCAAAGGGTACAGCCCAACTAGCACTTCCCAGAGCCGGCATCGGGAATTTTTTACCTCCCCCAGTTTTTTAGCTATAAGTATTTTTTGTATTACTCTACTCCTGTACGGGGTAGGGTATTAGTTTTTAAGCTAGATCATAGTTTTATCATAAATATACACTATAAATATATATTTTGAGACCCAAGTCCGGGGTCTCTCACTGGTATATTTAAATTCTACCCCCCGGCGGCCATTTTGTTTTTCGAGGGTGGAAATTTAAATCTGTTATAACTCAGGCGTCTTTGGTGCTACGGACACCGGATCACCACTGTAGAGGCTCAAATTACCATTTCTTGGGCCCCCCATCCTCAGAAAGCCAAACCAGGCATCCACCCTCCCAGAGCAATCTAGGCCCCCTGAGGAGGAAGGCAAACACCCAACAACATTACAGGAAAAACTCCCGCTCTCCTGCGACTGATAGAACAGGAGTTATAAATTTTTCAAACTTTGGCCGCCATTTTGTTTTTACAAATCGGCCCATAACTCCTGAACTATCAGCCGTAGAAAACTGCGGTTTTCGGGAACAGCACCACTCAAACCCCATCCAAACAACGGTGAGATCAATTCCCATATCGAAGGGGTGAAAATTTCCCCCCGATTTTATCAGCGCGCCCGATAGAGCTCGCCGAGCTGACCCAGGGAACCCGAAACACCGTGTCTCTAGGATCAGTAAAACCGGAGATATAGCTCTCCAAAGTCTTGGCGGCCATCTTGGATCGCCATTTTGAAAAACTTTGGAGGAATATATCTCCTAAACTACTGGGGCTAGA